TTTTTTTAAATTTTTTTATCCAATCACTCCCGGGGGGGGGGGCAAGTACCCCCTTCCCCCCCCCCTGCGTGCGCCCATGGCCCTCAGTTTCAGTTGATATGAGTAGTGATAAGCATGAAATCTGCAAGCCCTCAGTTGATCTGAGTACTGATCAGCATGATATCATTGTTTCATCTGTCACTGCAGTTCCACATTAAAAAACAACAACCAACAGTTCATTAAAGGGGCAATTTAAAAACAACTTAAAAACACATTTTTTTATATTAATACATTTTTATTACCTGGGTATAAAAAGATAAACAAATGTTAACAAGTTATCACACAGGGTAAAACCAGCAGATGAAAGACATAAAACAGGTGGACACCGGATCTCTGTGTGCAGGTACAATTTATAATTCTCTTTTTTTCATTCGACTAAACAGAAAAACATAATTTATTATATAACACAGAAAAACTGTCCAATCATATTTGTGTGTGTGTTTCTACATTTTTTAAATGCTAGTTCGGGTGAATTATTAGGCTAGAATGGTTACTGTACAATTAATGCCTTTGGTCAATAGATTTACACAGAAATTTACAAATCATTGTAAAACTGTATCACAGTTTATTGCATCAATTTCAATTCTTATTTTGAAATATAAAATGGTCTTAATAAAGAAATTAATTTCACTGGTGTAATAAATGGGTAATCAATTTTGTTCCCCACCTACTTCTTTCAGTCATAGGTTACAAGCATTTTACTGAAATATCATACACAGACACCTCTTTCTGGTCTTGGATATTTAAAATGTTTGACAAAAAGGTAAATATTTAATTTTTAAAAACATACACCAAGGCGTTGGGCTTTAAAGCATTTCCCACTTCTTTTTAAATATAATCAGATAGAATACTGTTTTATATCAACAGATGTAAGCGAATCAACCTTTGATTTTAAGATTAAAATTTGGGAAGCTAACTTCCTCTTGTTTAAGAGAGTAAAAATCTTTGAAATATGTGAAATAAACCTATAAATAGATACCAGGTACAGTATATATGTATATATATATAATATAATATATATACTAGCGAGTACTCGGCATGCATTGCAATGACACTCAAAAGAAAGAAATGTTTGAGTTTTAAGTATGTTTTTTAAAGTATTTTTTTATATAGCTAATATTTGTTTTCCGTACGGTGCCTACACTCTACACCAGGGGTCTCCAAACTACGGCCCGATGCGGCCCACGAGGCCCTATCATGCGGCCCGCAGAGACCTTGTTGTGTACGGAAAAAATTACGGAAATTTACGTGTATCCTGCCAAGATCCGCTTACGTGGACATTATGTTTTTTACCGAATTACAATAGAGGCGCGCAGTACTGCGTCATGTTTTCCAACCGATCATTACTTGGCAAAACCTTATTCGCTGCTTAGTTTTTCTACTTCCGTTCACAGTCAATGAGATGATCTAACGCCATCTAGTGGCGGAGCTTTGCACGACATGTTGCACACATGGGTGAAAACATTGTGATTCAAATAACGAAAAATGCAAGCAAGTTTCGCCAATTTTTAATTGCAATGGATGAATCACTGGACAGCTGTTCCACCTCTCAATTGCTTGTGTTCGTTAGAGGTGTGGATGAAGACACGAACATAACACAAGAGCTGGCTTCCCTACATAGCATTTACGACACTGTTACCGGAGAGGATATAGGGCCTATTCAATGAGTTGAAAAAAAAACATTTGCTGATTATAACTTGGACTGGACTAGCCTCAGTTGCCTGACTGTTGACGGAGGAAATAACATGAGTGGCATAAAGAAAGGCTTGGTTGGACAAGTGAAGCAGATGTGTAATGAGAAACAAATTCTGCAACCAATGTTTCTGCACTGTATTGTTCAGCAGAAAGCTTTGTGTACTAAATATGTCGACATTAGCAGCGCACTGAGTCCTGTGGTAAAGAGGGTTAATTTAATAAGGTCACATGGGCTCAACCATAGACAGTTCATAGACCTGTAGAAAGATACAGACACAGAATCGCAAGATATACCATATTACTTGGCAATAAGATGGTTAAGTTGTGAGAAAGTTCTGAGCAGAGTATTTAAATTAAGAAAGTAAATAGGTGACTTCCTGGAAAGTAAAGGCAAGCCACAGCCGTTAGTATCTGATGAAGAGTGGGTAAGGAAATTGGTCTTTGCGTCAGACCCAACAAATCATTTAAATTTTCTGAACCTCAAACTACAAGGAGAGGAAAATCTAGTTTCTGATCTATACACCCACCTAAAGGCCTTCAGATCCAAATTCGTCTTGTTTTTTTTTGGAACAAGTAGGCCCTACAGGCCAACAACTTGACACACTTTCAGCAGTGGACAGTCTTCGTGGCTGAAGCAACAGCGGAGTTCCCCACGTCATTTTTATGCGATATCATCAAAGACCTCCAGCTGCAGTTTCAGCAGCTGTTTTCTGACTTGTATTTAAAGGCAAAAGAAGTGCGACTTTTTCAAAACCCATTTGAAGCAGATGTGGCCAGTCGCCCAGATGAACTGCACATGGAGGTCATTGAGTTGCAAGCAAATGACCTCCTTAATGAACTGCACATGGGGGTCATTGAGTTGCAAGCAAATGACCTCCTTAATGAACTGCAGCTGGAGGTCATGGAGGTGCAAGCAGACGACCTCCTTAATGAACTGCACCTGGAGGTCATTGAACTGCAAGCAAATGACCTCCTTAGGGACAAGTGCAAAGAAGGACCGATGGTGGGTTTGTGACCAGTTTTCGCCCCAGGAAGACTTTCCTCATGTCAACACTTTTGCATCAATGTACCTTTCAATCTTTGGAACAACATGCATGTGTCAACAAACATTTTCAAGAACGAACTACGTGAAGAACAATTTGAGAACAAATTTGTCCGATGATAATCTCAGATTAATGTGGATGTTAGGAGCATCAAATCTAGATCCAGAACTGTCTGCTAAATCACTGCTATTTTGGCATCCATGAAAAAATTTCACCATTCCCACTAATACAGGTGTTCATGTGTAGTGTATCAATGTGTTATTAAAAAATAACTAAATGAAATAATAATAATAATAATATAGGTCTTATATAGCGCGGTACCCCAGCCTAGGGCTGGGCTCACCGCGATGTACATAAAAATTTTATCAAAAGAGACATAATCATGACATTAAAATAAAATACATTTATGAAATAAAGAACAGCAATGTATATTCACCCACCCCACCACATAACTTTTACAAGGCAAACCATGGACGGCAGCCAGCAAGATC